TTAAGTAAGATACTACAAATTAATAGTCCATTGAATAACAATCATTGATTTTTGTTGATCAAATTATTTGAATATTAATAAGGATACTATCTATTCATTAAGTATGACAATCAAATTTGTTAAACACAAATTATATTCCGAAAAAAAATAAAAATAAAAATAAAAAAATAAAAAAACGTAAAATTATTGATCATACTAATTACTAAATATGTAAATGGTTAGTAATATTTTTCTTTTTTTGGTGAGGCGTAAAATATTACGCCAAAATTTATGTGGGACATGAAATTTGATCAACAATTTGCATTTTACTAATTTATAAAGTGAATGAACTTAAAATAATTCATTCATTCTTTCTTTCTTATTGATTACATTATGTCCACCCTTCGATATGAATTAATTAATGCAACAATGAATAGAGCAATATCATTAACAGATACTAATATTTACAATGATATACACAAACGTTTTGAATTTCAAAAACAAACAGTCCTTGCTGGTAAAATTCTTACAAAGGATGAAAAAACTTATGCAATAAGAGAAATAACTAAAGATTATGATCGAAATAAAGTTAATTATAATTCAGGAACAAAAAGAATTTGTGAAAATTGTAAGCAAGAATGTTTAGCCACATTATATTGTGAATATTGTGTTCGAAATTATTTAAAAGAAGATTTTTCAAATTGGACATCTGGAAATGATGTTATTGATAATTTAATACAGAAATGTCAAATGGAATCACTTGAACCAGCGAATATAGTTGAATGGATCCCATATAGTAATTTAGAAAATATTAAATATTTAACAAAAGGTGGATTTTCTGAAATTTATACAGCAAATTGGATTGGTGGACGATATGATGAATGGGATTCTGAAAAAAAACAATTAAAAAGATTTGGAAATCTCAAAGTAATATTAAAAAAATTAGAAAATGTTGAAAGTGCAAATCAAAGTTGGTTTGAAGAGGTTTGTATTATTGTATTCTATATTTTATAAAATTGTTGTAATTTTTGTATTAGCACTAGTATTTTTACAAATTATTGTCTTTTAGGCTAAATCACATTTAACTATAAGTAATAAAAGGGCGGAGGTTGTTCGATGTTATGGTTTAACACAAAATCCATCAAATGGAAATTATATGCTCGTAATGTATAAAATGGATATAGATTTAAGAAAATATTTACAACAAAATCATAATCAACTTACATGGAAAGATAGAATGAAAATTATTGATGAAATAACTCGTGCACTTTATTGGATTCATAAAGAGAAAGCAGTGCATAGAGATTTACATTCTGGAAATATATTATATTCACAATATAATGATTACTGGTATATTAGTGATCTTGGATTTTGTGGACCTGCTGATAAATCTTCAACAAGTATATATGGAAATCTTCCTTACATAGCACCCGAAGTTATTGTTGGAAGAGAATATACTTTTGCATCTGATATTTATAGTATTGCAATTCTTATGTGGGAAATTTCATCTGGACAACCACCATTTATAAATTATGAACATGAAAATGATATTGTAATGAATATTATTAACGGTATAAGACCAAAAATTGTGCCAGGAACTCCATTAGAATATAAAAATTTAATGAAAGAATGTTGGGATGCTGATCCATTAAAAAGACCCAATATTTCTGCACTTAGGAGAAGAATAATAAGAATTCATTTATATTATCAAAATATGTCAGATGAATTATTTAAATCAGAAATGGATAATTTAGAAATGAATAAAGTAGAAGAAAATTATACGAGCAGCAGTTTATTTACAAGTAAAATTCACAACTTTGGAAATCTACCTGAACCAAGAAATGCAACAGAAGGTATAAGTGTATAATATTTTATTAATAAATATATTTATTTTAAAATACATTATTAATGTTATCTTTTTATCATAATAGAAGAACAAGAAGGTATAACTGTATAAATAATTTCTACCATTTTTTGTTACTATAATAATTTATTTTTAAATACTTTATTTATTTTGCTTCTAATAGCGTTTCATAGTAAATCATATGATTTTAACATTCCTAACAATAGTAAGTATTTAATAACATTATAGCGTTTAATTATCATATAATGATGTTTAATAATCAATTTTTTTATTTTAGTTAACGACTTTAATAAATCAAATGAACAGAATAGTAGCAAATCATCAAAAGTAATTACTATTTTTAGAGGTAATGTGTTTTAATTATGTTCAAATCAAGATTGATTTATATATTAAATCTATAATTTAATTTTAGATAGTAATAAAAAATTATCTAAATTATTTAAAAAGTTGCAAATAAAGTCAAATAGTAAGTAAATTACTAACGAATTAAATTACCATATCAATTAAATTTATTTAACGCGACTTTTATTTAAAATTTAGATGATGAAAAGAAAATAACTCAGCAACATGTCGATGGTAGGTGAAAATTTTACGTAATAACAAACGATTTTTATACTACTTTAAGTATGTTCATGTTCTTATAGATGATGACGAAGCATATAATAATCCAAATCTTCATTCAGAAGAACAAGATGAACTGGAAATTCCTGATGGTAAGCTCTTAAAATAAACTAGTAGAAATGATAAATTTCTTTATAGTAAAGCAAACAATTAATCTATAATTAATTTATTTTTTATCTTTAGATGGATTTTAAATTGTCTTTTGATAAATCAAATTAACAATATTTTTTTTTATATTTTAAATTATTATCACTTATTTATCTTGGATTATTTAAACACTAAGACTAGAGTAGTAAATGTTTTACAAAATTCTTAGTTTGTAGTTTAAATAATTTTAATAAATTTATTCAAATTATTTGTATAAATACCATACTATATTGATTTAATGAATTAGTATACCATTTAAATTATTCAAATTTTTTAATGTTGTTCTATTATAATAAGAAAAAATTAACATTTCGATAGTAGTAGCTAAATTTTAGATTCGAGTATTCAATAAAATTTATTTTTTTAAAAAAAAAATAAAAAAATAAATATTAATAAGCAATGCTTTTAATTACAGAATTATTGAACGTTCTCTAATATTATTACAATTTATTACAATTTATTCGCGATACCACAGCCATAAAAAAAATTCTGGAACGTACGTTTCAATACCTTTGGTAGCATTTCGATTCATAAATTTTTGATTAAGTTTGGACATAATATTACTGACGGCAAGAATGGCGAGAGAAAATATACATATCATTCGTCCTATAAAAACGAAATGTGTTATATTTATTTTAAATTCGTGCTCATGTGTAATAAGTGTCTAAAAAAGCACCATTTTGTTTAAATTTTATTTTTTTGTAATAATACACAAATCGGATCAAATGGTGCTTTTTTAGACATTTATTACACATGAGCACAAATATAAAACAAATTCAACACATGTATGATAGTCAAACATATTTTTTATAAACAAAAAATAAATCTTTGTTATTTATTGCCATTTTCAAAAATCTGATTTGCGATGATATCATGTGATTTTGTATTGAAAATTGTAATCACCTTTTTTACACGAATTTTTAGTGAATCATTTAATTCAAAATATAAATGGTACCCTACTTGGATTTTTAATGTCGTATTGTATTTATATTATTATTATAGTTATTTGAGCAAAAATTGGAATGAATCACCATTTTATGAATTTTTAATATTTTTATATGTTTTTTTTTTTTTTGATGAATCAAAAATTCTACACTTAAGTGAATTTTTTTGTATTAGTATTTATTATGATTATTTATAATAAATATAAAGATTATTAAATAAGTGAATCACCATTTTCATGAATTGTTAATATTTTAATATATATTTTTTTGATAAATTATGTTTTATATACAGTAAATTTTTTGTACTAGTACAATTTATTATGGTTATTATAATAAATATAAAATTAAATAAGTAAATCACCATTCTCATGAATTTTTAATATTTTATATTAGATTTTTTGATGAAACATCAAATTTTATCCATAATAAACATCATAATAGCATTTTTAACATAAGCTTTATACAAAAATTTTGTATCTTTATATTAGCATTATTTATTAACTGCTATTTAAATAATCATAATAAATTATGCTAATACAAAACATTCACATAAAAATTTTTACTTAATTAACCATAATAATGATGTAATTACGATAATAAATTTGATTCTCTTATATAATATATTGTTAAAATTCACCATTTATGTCTTAAATTTAATGATTCACAAAAACAACCTGGTATAAAAATATTAAAAATTCGTGTAAAGAGATGATTCATATTATATTCAATACGAAAAATCACAAAATCAGGTTTTGTTGAAAATGGCAATAAAAGAAATGACTTTACATTGAAAGTTATCTGATAATTGTTAATATAAAATAGTATTAGAATTTTTATTAAATTAGACAAATTTCTTTAATATACTTAATAATTTTTTTTTTATTTAATAAATTGATAATTTTTTTTGTAAACCTAATGCATTTTTAATAATAAATAATTATCTAAATTCTTTTTTTTTTATTAAAGGAATAATTATCCAAGATCTTTTTTTTTTACAGTTATGAAAGGAATTTTTTTTTGAAGATTTATCAATGGCTTAGTACATTATATGATTGAAACCTAAAATCTTTTCAATCATAGAGTATTTATATTAATTCTATTATTTGTTATTGATATAGATACTGTCAAAAAATGCAAGATAAATTTAATAAATTAATAAAACTTCTAATCATTATAAAATTTACTATTCATTAATATTTAAAATTCCCTAATATGTTTAATGTTTACTTGTTATATTATCTATAATAATTTAGCTCAGTAGTATATAAATAATCTTTATTTAAATATTGATCATAAGGAAGCATGATTGTTGTAATCTGGAGTGACAGATATCTGTATTAAGTCAATTGCGTAACTGATCAACTGATGAGTCAGATCAATCTGTGCGACAATCGATTTCTCTTATAATCCCGTTTCTGCGTTCTTTGGATTGTACAATTTGTCTTACTAATTTCCTAAAAACAGAAATGTCCGCTGTCTATCAAGAGATAAAACGTCTCACTCAAGAGCTACCTAAAGAGAATTTTACTAAAATAATTGCTCACATTAGTAAGGATGTTGACCTAACAAATCAAATGAAAGATGCCCTGGATCTCTTTGATGCGGATAAAGAGAAACGTAATTATCTGATAACTTTTTTGAACTCTATTGGAGCTGGTATGTTTTCATATAAAGCGTAAGCTTAAATTTTCGTCCGTCATATTCGCCAATAATACTGAATACTTACTTATTCTTGTGCTTTCTTTCCTGCTTCTTATCGTCAAACCCGCCCAAAAAACACATTCGCGTTATCGTAGAGCAACCTGTTGCTGGTAAGTGAGTCGTAATAAATTTGGTCAACCCTATCTTTCACAATTATAATTTATACTAAGGGTTCTTTTCCTTTCTATGTAGCTGGCACAAGATCCTTAGACCAAGTTTATTTTTTCATAGACAATTCTAATGTTACGATGGAAGGCGGGTACTTCATACGCAGTCAAAAACCAGGTTGCTTTTTGAGTAGTAATAATAAAATAATCTTCGATTATGGACTATTGTTTAAGAAAATTAGGGGTAACCGTGAATTAGGTGGTAACCCAATTATTGTTGGCTCTGAGATTTCGCCTAATGATTCAATCTATAATCAAGGCTACGATGTTAAAGTCTTTAAACGCAATTGCAAGGGAAAAGAAGAGGGGGTAGATAATTTCATCACGCTTAAAATGACAACAACGTTTTGTGACGAAAAAAGGCCCAGCACGTTAATTTTGATTGCTGGAGACGGTGATTACTTTGAAACATTGTTAGAAGCTATAAAGCGCAAATGGAAGGTCGAAGTATGGTTCTGGAGTGGTATTTTGAATTGTTTTAATAATCATGAACCAACTAAGCTTTGCAAAAAGCATTTGTTTCCGATAATTGTATCTGATGATTTAAAGCTTTCTTTCCCCACCACAGGGACATCAGATAAAATCAAGTACGAAGCTAAAATTCATTACACTCAACTCGAAACATGTTATAAATTTTTTATCTATATCAATGGAAATCCATATAATGGAATGGAAAGTCTTGAGATTACAAGTTGCACTATGATCGAAAATAGAGAAATTATGGAATGGCTCGCAAAGCTAAATTTATTTAGCTGGATTAACCGGGAAAATGATTCAATATTTTTATATTTTAACAATAAAGCAGAATTGAAAACCGCAAAGGAGTGGATCATGAAAGAACACAAGGAAATAGTCATTTGGGAAAAGACGGTAAGCAATTTTAATAATAATATTCAGTTTTTCCTTATGTTTGAATGATAAATTTGGGTTATTATTTAGGTACAGAGAAGAAAGCCAAGTCGATTTTACAAACGTAATTAGGAGTTGGCCACTGTAACAAATCTTTGCCTTATTCTGATGTCTGCGCAAAACGTAGATAAAATTCGTGACAGTGAAGAATAATGTCTCAAAGGAGGCAATATTACTTTGCACATCTTGGGCATTATATTTACTACTTGCAGTAATTACATAATAAACTACATTTAAAGAATAATTGCTATTTCAATAGTGTAGGAATCACTTATAACATGTATGATAGTTGATCTTGTCGTAAAAATAATAAAAATCAAGTTTGCTTATATTTTGTGATTAATCTTTTTTAACTGTGTATACATGAACATGTGTTATGTGAGATTATAACTGTGCAATGGAAAGATAATCTTCATGTAAGTATAATGAAAAAGGGCGTTCACCTGAAATGCGCAATACGATATCGAAAAAATTCTTGTCGAATGAATAGGGACTAAGCGACGTAAGATCTGCATATATATACAGTATATCGCATTAATTTTTTATTTCAGTCACCGGTGATCATCACGCACCTTCGGTGATAGTTGGAAAAATTCTTGTAATATTATTATATTTTATTATTAATTAATAAAATTTTAAAAAACACCTATTCATATACTAATCTATATTAAATTAAAATACTATGTTTGTAATTATTTTATTTATTTTCATTTATTTATTATTTGATGTATGTTACATTTACAGAATTTGTGAAACCATTTTTTAGTATAAAGTTGTCGCTCACGCTAAAAAAAGCTTTAAATAAAAAAAAAAAAAACTTGTTAAATTTAAAGCAATTTAAGCAATAACATCATGAGTCAACATGAAGTTGTCGAAAAACTTGAAACTGGTTTCAAAAAATTTAATGATAAATTTACAAATTTATTAGAAGAAAATCAAAGAATTAAACAACACAATAAAAATCTTCAAGAAAAAAATCAAGAAATTTCACGTACCAATTTAGAATTAAATGAAAAAAATCAAGAAATTTCACGTACCAATTTAGAATTAAATAAAAAATATCAGGAAATTTCACGTAATAACTCAAAATTAATTGAGGAAAATGAAAAAATTTTACGTATTAATAATGATTTAAAAGAAAAATTTCAAAATATAAATGAACAATTTGAAAAACTTCAAAAAGATTTAAATTTAGAAAAACAAAAAAATAAAGAAATTCAACGACTTGAAGTAATTTCTCAAAATTTAGAAAAAAATTTAAAAATATTGGAAGTTGACGAAATTGATATTAATACTATCAATGCTTTTAAAGAAAATAATGAACAAAAAAATTGTAATATTAACAATAATTCAACAACCTTCGCTTCAAATTGTAGTAAAGGTATGTGAACTTTTTTAAAGATTTTATTAATAATGATTATTAAACGAAACTAAATCGATTTCATACACTTTTAAAGATATTAGAATTGTGGTCGGATTAGATTTTGGAGTAACATATTCTGGATTCTCTTATTGTCATGTTAATAATCAAAATATATGTACAAATTGTGAATGGCCTGGGGAAACTAGTTCATCAAAAACAAATACAGTTCTTCAATATGATGATGAATATATTAATGTGTTGTGCTGGGGTGCTGAAGCTTTAAGAGTAAGACCAAAACGAAAAAATAGAAAACAAAATAGTAAACCCGTTGAATTGTTCAAATTATACCTGGGTGACTTGCCAGATAACTTAAAACCAAAACTTCCAATTGATTACAAAAAGGCTATTACTGATTATCTTAGAGAAATCGGAAAGGTATGAATTATAATTCCAAATTTCCAATATTATTTTAATTTTAATTTTAAATTTCTACATATTTTAATAATAATTTTTAGTTAATTAAAGAAAATATTAGTCGCAATTGGCAAGGAATTGACTACTTTAAAAATGTATTGTTAGTACTTACAATTCCTGCAGAATATTCAGAAACAGACAAGGTTATTATGAGACAATGTGTATATAATGCGAACCTCATTGAAGATATATACTCAGGAAAACTACAATTTGCTACAGAATGTAAGTTTGACTTTAGAAATAAGGCCTTTATTACTTAATCCGATTAATTTTTCTTTATTTACAGCCGAAGCTACTGCAATATATTGTTTGAAAGATTATTTTAAATGTGGAATAGGAGGCAAGTTTTAATTATTAATTATTTTAATTTAAAGAATATTAGAATAATATTCATTTATATTTTAGAGACATTTATGTTTGTTGACTGTGGTAAATGCACTACAGATTTGACTACTCGTAAGTTACTAGTTGAAAATCGTTTAGATAAAGTTACAGCACGCATTAGAGACTTCTGTGGAAGTAAATTGATTAATGAAGAATTTATTAAATTTTTACGTGAAAGACTTGGAACTTGTGCCATAGATCTATTGAAAGAAAATAATTATAAACAATTACAATACATGGTCAAAAATTTCTATCAACATATAAGTATTTTTACAGGCGATGATAAGGCGTTTCAATATGAACTAGACATTGAAGTAGCTCCAATTTTGCTACAGTATGTCAGTGAAGAAATTAAGGAAACCATGGAAGAAATTGACTGGGTAATTGAAATTAAATATAATGACATAAAAAAAATATTTGATCCAGTTGTTGATAGAATTATTCGTTTAATACATATACAACTTTTAAATAATAAAGAAAATTGTTCAACAATATTTTTAACTGGGGATTTTTGTGTAAACAAATATTTACAAAATAGAATAAAAAATGAATTTAGTCATCAAGTGAAAGATATTTTAGTTCCTGCTTTACCGGAAGCAGCAGTTGCACGTGGAGCTGTAATTTATGGATTATCAACTATGTACGATAGGTTAAAATGTGTTATTTCTTCGAGACTCCTTAAATATACTTATGGAGTTCAATATTACTGGAAAAGTAGTGATGATCTTACTCATGATGGAAAAAATTGTAAATTTAAGACTTTAGTCAAACGGGACACTGAAATTACACCTGATCAAACTTTTTCCTTCAATTTTAAACCTGAATCTAAGCAGATAAGTGAAAGTTTTGCAATTTACTATACACAAAAGCACAATATAGAAGGGTACTGTGATGAACCAGGAGTAAACAGACTTGGGATATTAAATATTGACCTTTCAGGTAAATTTACAATTAATTTTTTCAATAATATATTCAGTGAAAATTGTATAATTTATAATTAACTTTTTTGTAATCATTATTAGACGTACAACTTGATTGTAGAAGTATTATTTTCGGACTAACCTTTGGTAAAGATGAAATTATTGCTCTTGCAAGGAATGAACTTAATAGACAAGAACATATGGCTACTTTTTGTTATCCAGATGATGATTTTTAATTTTACTGTATAAATAATTCAATTATTTCATATTTGGCTATAAGATAATTTTTATTATAAATAAGTTTTCGATTAGAATAGTACTTATAATTGGTTTATCAAATATTTAAGTTACACATATATAATATATATATACACAATGTATCTGGTATTATGAATTATTTAAAAAAAAAGTATTTGAATTCTCAATATAATCTCAATAGTTATTATGGCGTGATATAATTTGTTTTCAGAAATATTTTATACTGTATATCATATGTTTATTTTTGTATTTCCAAGAAGATATATATTGATTAGAAATATCTTTAAATTTATTTCCCTGTTTATATACAAGGTCCTAAATTACATAAAACAAACTGATTAGTATGATATATATACAGGTTTTAATTACAGTAACAAGAGATCAGCACTCTCTTTCAGGCCGGAGTTACCGTGGCATTATCCAAAAGAAGGAAAGATTTTTATTTATACTTTACGTAATTAACTTTTATGGTTAAAACCACCTTTAGTAATTAATAATGCACGTATATTACGTAGAGGCCGATTTTAATCAATCAATCAATCATCACAATTATTTCCGGATTTATTTAATATATTGGATAAAACCATTAAAATAATTGATAATAAAAAAAGTTATAATTAAATGGTGGCTCTTTTTTTAAAAGTCCAATGTCAAGAAAATATTAATTCATAACGACCTTTAAAGTTTGTATAATTTTTTTATCACATTTCCGTAAATCGATTACCAAATTAATAAATAAGCGTTTCGGTGTTTTTTCATATAATATTATTAAAAAAAATGCCAGAACGTTTTCTTTACAATTACTTAGTAAAAAAAAAACGTCTCGAAGTTTTCTTTTTACTTTAGACGGGTCACCCGAATTGACCCGTTCGATCGGAACACTGGGCTGGGGCGAAAGACCATCTACTACTATAATGCGTGAATTTAGTGAGAGTGCACTTAGATAGAGAAATGATAAAAATACTTCGCTCTAAGAGTAAAACTTCACCACGCGATCGGTGACAAATAATTGGAGTGTGAAAAAAATATTTTTCATCACTAAAAAAAAGGCATCCTTAATGTAAAGTGGGGTAGACCTTTATCGTAAACTGAGTGTACGATAAGATTAATATGTATAAATATTTTTCTTTCAATTCTTTACGTTCTTTAATATTTTTCACGCTTTTTGCTCACTTTGCTGTAAATTTCTTCTTGAAAGGTATATTATTTCTTCTCTGTTATGAAATTAATTATTGTAATTTATTTTATTTATTTATTTTATGATTAACTGAAATATTTTTGTTTTTATTGAAAAACTTTAAAGGTGAAGAAGTGTCTTAATAAAAATTTAACTAACTTAGCTTATAAAATCTTGAAGCTTGCATAGATTTATTAGTTTGCGTTTTAATAGTAAAAGATACAAATATATATTTTGCATAGTATTTATTATACCGTGTAGCTTAAATTTTGAAGAAAACGTGTTTATTTATTATTTTTAAACATTAAAATTTTTATTATACACGTATTTTTGTAAGAATTTTTCAAACAATATTTTTCGCTATTTTTTTTTTTTAGTAAAATAAGAATTTTCTTTTAACTTTTAAAAAATCTTACTCGGTATAATGGTGATAATGTAAAAAATTTTTTTTTGAGATTTAACAAAAACTGACCCGATCGGGATATGAGAATAGAAAAATTAAGTTTGTATGACCTTAATAATAATTTATTTAATTTCTAATGTGTTTTTTTCAAATAGATGGCTTAAAAAGTTGTAACGTAGGTTTTCGTTAAATAATTGTTTTAACTAGTTTAAATTCGGCTAGGATTTTGATCTTGATAAGTTTTTCTGCAGAGAATAACAGTAGCACAATAAACAATGCGATGAACGTTAAAATTTACTGCGTCATTGCAAATTTGTGAAACCACGATCCAGTATTTAAGGAATCATTTTTTTTAAATCAGTTTTCTTTTTTTAATCAGATTTTTTTTCTAAAAAAAAAAATTATAATGGATGATAATGTATTTTTACCGAAATTATCACAAAATTTACTCAAAAGTTTGGACGATGATGAGTATTATGATATTACTATCGAAGTTGGTAATGACCCTTACGTAAAAATATTCCGCGCTCATATGGTAATTCTAAACTACCGTTCTACTTATTTACGAAGAATTTTATCAACAAATAAAAAGAAAAATGATGGAAATTTGGTGCAAATTAAATTACCAAATATTTTACCGGAAATTTTTCAAATAATTTTAAGGTGTGTAGTAATTAATACAATAAATAAGTTATTATTTTACAAAAATATGTAAATAATTTTTAATTTATATAAAATGTTTTTGTTTCAGATATATTTACGGAGGAAGGCTTTCTTTGGATAGATGTGACATTTCGGATATAATTAAGATTTTGATTGCTGCTAATGAACTTAATCTTCAAGAATTAGTTAATTATTTACAACTTTATATAATCGAGAATCATAAAAAATGGATGGAACAAAGTTTTAATCTCGTATATCAAACAAGTTTAGAAAATGATTCTTTCTTGGAACTTCAAAAATATTGCACCGACTTAATTTCAAAAAGGCCTGATAAGATACTTAAATCAATTAGTTTCTCTTCAATTACGGAAAAATTATTAGTCTCAATCATCCAAAGCAATAATCTTCATCATATAAGCGAAATTCAAGTTTGGAAATATGTGATTAAATGGGGGCTTGCTCAGAATCCCGAACTTCCTTCTGATCCTGCAACCTTTTCAAAAGAAGATTTCAATGTATTAAAGAATACTTTACAACAGCTCATTCCTTTTATTAAGTTTAATAACTTAACTTCTAAAGAATTTTCTGAAAAAGTATTACCTTATAAGAAAATTTTGCCAAAGGAATTATACAAGGATTTATTGAAAATTTTTTTAAATTTAAATCCTGATGGCAGACCAAATGAAATTCAAAATATCAATTCAAAAATTATTACGTTCCAACATACTGAATTAATTTCAAAATGGATTGATAAATTAGATATTGCAGACAAGTCAACATCTTCATATGAATTCAAATTAATTCTTCGTGGATCTCGAGATGGATTTGAATCCGATATATTTCATGAGATTTGTGATAATCAATTATGCACTGTAACAATTATTAAAGTAAAGGGTAATAACCAAATTCTTGGAGGATATAATCCAATTAAATGGAAATCTGGTCGTGGTTATGGTGCTACTAAGGATAGCTTTATATTCTCTTTTAAGGATGGAGATGATATTAATGATCATATTTTAAGTCGTGTCATGAATGAAAATTGTGCTATATTTAACGACCGTACTTATGGACCATCATTTGGTGGCGCCGATCTTGTTTTACGGGGTAACAGTGGACATTGTATAAAGGATAGTTATGAAAAACAAATCAGATGTCCTTCTTCAGGTATGATTAGTAATTAATTACCTTTTATATGTAAATAACTAAAAAATTTTTTTCATTATAATCTCTTTATAATTTTTGTAGAATCTGTTTTACATTATGGCGCAACGTGTGACTGCTGTAACTATACTATCCGTGGAATGGGATGGGAGTGTACAACCTGTGAAGATTATGATTTATGTCATGTTTGTAAACCCAAATCATATATTCATCATCATCCGAATGATCATGTGTTCGAACTTATATCACATTCAGAATCTTCTGATTGTGCTCCTCGTATGTACTATCATATTTTTTTTTTTAATATAGCATTTTGTAATACCAAAATTTTTCTAAAAATTAATTATTATTTATTATAATACACCATAGAATTTGCTGAACATGACGGTATAATGTGTAAGTGCTGCAACAAAACAATTCATGGAATGAGATGGAAGTGTACATTTTGTAATAATTATGATTTATGTCAAGATTGTAAATCCAAATCATCAAATATTCATGATCATCCAAATAATCATGCTTTTCAACCTATCGCATATCCAGAATTTGAATTTGATATCAGTGGTATGTTATAATCTTTTTGAATTATAATAACATTTGATATTTCGATTATACAAGATAATGTTTTATTAATTCCATATTTCATTATCATTGCAATATTAAATTTTAGAGCCAAATCCTACTATTTGTGACTATTGTGAATCAAGCTGCCTCCTTGCAATATGTCAAAAATGTGCTAATGGTGAATTTTGTGTAGAAGAATGCGAAATATTTCAAGTTATAAAAAGATAAATTATATTTAGAACTTGCTGTGTAAACCTCTGCAATTTGGATTAATAAGATTAATAAATAATAAAATGTACTGAAAAAATATAACGAACATTTTTTATAATAATGTCAAGGTTACGACTTAAAATATACATTAAAAGAAAAGAAAAGAAAAAGTTTATTTATATTATTTATTTCATGGGGAGTTGAAAGTAACGGGGGGTTTTTTTTTTTAAAAAAAATCATGATGTTCCCCTACCCATAAAATATAATGAGTAATCCCCTGTCACTCATTATGTGATTAACTATTTTAAACTAAAATTAGAGAAATCTATACTATACTGGTGAAGATCTCCGGTCATTTATAAACTCGGCCAATCACCTGCAATTTTCATAAATTAGTCAAATTATTGACACTTACAAGAAGGCATCGTAAGCGAAGAGAAAAAAGAAAGGTATTTGTGTATTACATTTCACGACCAGATAAATTATATTAATTTTGGGAATAGTGATTTCCGATATTGTCGTACAATTCGTATTATTAATTGCATAACATGTTTAATAGTTAGGCATAATAAGGTCAACGATTTACAATATATCATTCCGGTCAAAATAGTGTTTGCCATAGTCAAAAACCCGTCTTATTTGTTTTTACGTTTTACTTATTAAAACATATTTGTATTTTTCTCAAAACTTTCTGAACAACAGCCTTTCGAACTAGGAGAAACTTATTCTATACATAAATTTACATATTTATTTAGCTTCATTTTCAATTAAAAGTTTTTAAATCTTAAAAAAATTTCGGGTTAATATTATCATAATCAATAAGCTGATTAACTTTTTTCCTATAAAAAATTTATTCCGTGTTTTTTATTCCATATTCATTCTGCAAAATATTAACGGAATTTATAGTCCCAAAACATGGAAATTATCTGAGTTTGCTCTTAGATTTTTAGTTATTTTCCCGTAAAATGTATCATATTCACGGAGTTTTTACGGATAAAATTTTTTAAATCCTCCTTGTTAAATATAATTAGAAATTTAATGCATTAAGTACAGTTGAATTATTTGAATAAGGTAGAAAACAATAAACCAATTATTATGTTTAAACATTATTATAATAATTGCAATTAATTATTTGTTATAATTTATATAATTTTAATATTAAAATTATAAATAAATTCTAATAGAATGATACATACTATGATACATATGATATTTTGATCATCATCAATTAAGAAATACCGGATAATGATTAATTGAGTAATTATTCAATTAACCTAATTATCGAATATATATATTTTTTGAATGAAAATTTCTTTTCTCTATAGTCTATAGGAATGATAATTATTACACTATTATTGAAAAGTTATAATTTGTTGTACTAAGTATTTTTTTTTTTTTTCGAAGGATGAAGGAATTCAAGTCATATAATATTAGTCCATATCTCAAAGATTGAAATTGATAATTTTATAAAGGAAATTATTGATTATTTAATAATGATTTAGAAATAATAGAAAATAATGTTCTTTTGCAAATAAAGTTGCTTATAAATTTACTCATTATATATATAAAATTTCCATATATTAATTTTTAGATTGTTGAAAAATTTTTATTATTCATGAAAGACAATATATATATATATATATAGTTCAAAAACTGAATCAATAATATGAACAAATACGAAATGTGTTGGTATTGTCACAAATTTACGCAAATTAAGTTTATCAAATATGTCTAATTTTTCCATTATGTGATTTTAGATTAATTGTAATGCTGGATGTATAGATTCTACTAGTATCTATTAGGATATCAAAAACGGATCACGCAAGTAAATGACAGAAGGAGTTCAATAGTGTAGAAAATAATTTTTAACTAGGGGCTTACAGGGTAGTCAATTTTTCAACAATTGTACGCTTATTAAATAAGTTTAATAAAGAAGATTTAAAAAAGATTAATGGACTTGTTATTGCTAAACTCGGAATAAAGAATCAAATCATAACATAGGTTATTCTTGGTCAAAAAGGTTGTTGTTAAGATAGTTTTTGAGAAAACCCGCAAAATTTGTTTCAAAAATGTTTGATCACCCAGTTCATTTGTGCTCCGAAGATAATTTTTTTTCATACGCAGCCATACGCACGTGATCGGCAGTAAGTCTGGCCATATTTATAATTCCAGCCGGAATTAAAAATATATCCTAATATGGAAATTTATGTAGCACGCCCGTGATATATACATTACACTAATTTCCAAGTTAGGAAATATTTTAATTTCGGCCGGAATTATAAATTTTGCCAGAATTATTGTCAATCAGTTATGAATGATTGAATCACTACGTATGAAAAAATTCATCGAAGCAAAAATGAATTTGGTGGCTCAATATTTTTGCAATTAGATGCAATGAACAAAAAAGTAAAAGCAAAAATTTTAACTCTGTCAACTATAATTCTTGACGGAATTGAGTGATAAACGTGCTTGTAAGAATAAAAGTGTTACAAAATTTTCTTTTAGTTTAAGTTTTTATTTACTTTTTCAATTTTGTCTTGTTTGTTAAATCTTATGTATACTAACTATTACTGATAAATAAAAAAAAAATAAAATTGTTACAAAAATAAATAATAAGTAATATCCTGGCTAATTAGGAATAAGTAAAATTTTTACTTTAGAATCGGCCTATCAGCCGATCATTTATCCGTAAATTTTACTTATTCCTAATTTATTCAGGATATTATACTCTTACACAAAAAAAATATGTAAATCGTGACTTTATCAGTATTACAACTAGTATTACAACTAGTTATTTATGTTACACACAATAATTGTGCGACAATATCGGAAATCAAATTAATGTAATTTATCCGGTCGTGAAACACAATTACCTTACTTTTTTTTTCTCTTCGTTTAAAATGTCATGTTCGAAACTAATAAACTTACCTGAATTAACTTATGAAGTTATAAAATATTTTCAAAATGATTATTCAACCTTACATTCATGTGTTTTAGTTAACAGATTATGGTGTCGTTTAGCGATTCCATTATTATGGGAAAATCCATTTTCAATTCCTACTGGAAATTATAACTTTATTGAAATTTACCTACATAATTTAAATGGTGAATTAAAAACAAAATTTAATGAACATAAAATTAATGAAAATCTGTTACTTTCCAACACACTTTTCAATTATCCTAGTTTTATAAAATATTTGGATTTGTTGAAATTTTCTACTTCTGTTCGAAAGTGGTTTTATAATGCTAAAATTAAAAAATCAGAATTGGTAGAAGATATAGAAGATACTAAAAAACTAATTATTATATCATTATTAAAAATATTTATTGATAATGAAGTAAATTTACATACCCTTGAAATTAATATAAATAATTATATCACATATATTGAAGGTATTCTTGAGTTAACCTTACAAAATCCAAATTTCATTCGCAATATTAAAAATTTAAAAATTTCTATTTTAACGAGATTTAGGGATAATAGTTCACCAATTGACAATCTTGTATTACAAGTAATTAATTTACATCAAAATCTTAAAAAAGTTATATTAAGTTATTATAATCTACCTTTTTATCAATCTTTATTATTAT